AGTTAACGGTCTGAAATTGGAATATCTCCTCATTTATGGGTAGGGAAAGAGTAGGCTCTAGTTGATGAGGCCGTAAGGTACCAACTCGACATAGTTGGACTCGTCAACGAAGCGCCAGGCTCTGGAATTTAAAACTGATGCAAGCTATTCTACTCAGGTGTCGACCTCACGACACGCGCTCAGGCCCCGATATTGATGTTCTAGTAGAATAAACCTGGCTGTCAGATTCATTGAATGGAAGCCTGTCAGCAGAAGAGCGGCAAACACCCGGCTAAAGTTACAACAGGCTAAAGCTTTGACTATTTTGCACGCTGATGCTCACTCTGTGGAGAAAGAATATCAGTCCTTCTTGGACGAAGTAAAAGGTGCTCTGTACGAAGTGTTGACTACAAAATTCCTCATTCTAATGGGCGATTTTAACGCGTATGTCCGAACAGACATCGAAAAGTGAAACAGCGTGACTGGAAAGAACCGCCATAACGACCTCAGCTGCAGTGGCGCGAAGTTTTTTGTCAACAGTAGCTGAGTTTTTGTGCAAACAACGGACTGTCCATTATGAACACCGAGTGTCGAGGCGTGCACCAGTATACCTAGTACAGGGAAGCTTGTGCACAGAAGTCGATGATTGATTTGATAGTCGTATCTTCAGACTTACGACGCTCTGTAATGGATGTACACGTAAAAGAGGTGCAGAGCTGTCAACTAACCACTACCCTGTTATTGACACGCCACGCTGTGAGAGATGGGGTACCATGCGAAGATCTGGTAGCAGAAGCAACCAGAGAATCAAACTTGAATCATTATCTTCCGCGGATAGAAGGCATAACTTGCAAACAACATCGCGCGACGTGTAAAGAAATCCCGGTGATAACCGCTGATGTTTAAACCGAGTTGGAGCTCTTTAAGAGCGGCGTATTCTAGGCTGCTGCCGAATATTGTGGCTTCAGACGGGTTGGCCTGCCGCCTTGAGGTCAGAAACGAACTTAGTGGTGGACACGGGAAGTTCAGCTGGCAGTCACGGAGAAGTTGCATTCAAGAGATGGCTTGGATGCAACGATCCGTCAATGCGAACGAAGATAAGCGCAAGACGGTAGCCAAAGCTGTGGCCAAAACGAAAGCTGAGACCTGAGAGAAGTTCGGTGAGGTGTTTGAATCGAATTTCCGACGGCAAACTAGGTATTCTAGTAGACCATCCGCCGCCTCCGAGATAGAATGAACGGCAGTCTAAGAGTCCTGGTGAACAAGTCCGGATACTATCTTACCAAGTATTAGAACTTATTTTGGCAAAGGAAATCTTTAACCCTGAGCAACCGCAGGAAGCCTTGCCTGAAGAGCAGCAGGTAACGAATATTAGTGTCACTGTAGATGAAGTCACAAAAGCTATAAAAAGCTCGAAAAGTGGCAAGGCTGCTGGAATCGATTAAATCAGCCCTATAATGCTTAAACCTAAAGGCGAAGTTGTGGCTAAAATACATCCGTCAAACTGCAATGGCTACCTTGAAGATAGTATGGACTAGAGAACGAAGGTTGCAATATTTCTGTTCATGAAGGGAGGCCACAGGGAGTACTCCAGTTAGTAAAGCATTACATTATTAAGCCTTTCGTAAAGTCTATGCACGGGTGTTGGAAAGGAGGTACCACAGAATAACTGACTCTAAGGTACAAGAAGAACGCTGTGGCTTCAGGGTGGGCCTAAGTACCTGTGACCAGATCTTTGCCATATGTCAGATTGTAGAGAAATTGTGGGAGTTGGCTCTTCCGGTTTACATGTGCTTTGTGGACCTGAGGAAAGCTTATGAACGGACTCTGCGCAGCAAGCTATAGGGGTGCCTGCGAACATATGGGACCGATGGGCCAATTTCTACGAGCCATCCAGTCACTGTATGTTGATGGCAGGTGCTGCGTCAGAGTAAATGGCGTTAAGTCGAGACCTTTCGTTGTTGGCACTGCATCTGTCATGGCTGCGTTCTGTTCCCCTTTCCTGTTTGTTCTAGATGGATAGGATAGGGATGTGCAGCAGGGCGACGAGTGTATCAGCATAGGGAATTTTGGAGACGAAAAGGTTGCTGTTTTGTTGGCATCTGAAACGCCCAGCTCTCTCAGGAAAGGTTCGCAATGGAATGCAACGTGATATGCATGCATGCGAACGTATCTAAAATGGAAAGCCTAGTGCTTTCTTCCTTTTCGTTCCCTTTACCCTCTGCAGATAAACGAAGAAGCACTGGAATAGATAGAAAAGTTTAAGTACCTCGGGGTCGTGTTTGTTTACTGCTGATTGAACATGGAAGCAAAAAATCGACCGGCGAATTGCAATGGTCAGTGGTGTTCTCCGCGAAGTAGCCCTAACCGTTGTGAGCGGAGCGTTGTCTGAGTATTAAGCTGTGTTCTTCGATTGTTCTTCGGTCTTTGTCCCGATGCTCCCCTACAGTCACGAGTCATGGGGTTCACGAAAGAACGGAAAAACTCCGACTCCGTGTAGAAGCGGCTGAAACGGGCTTTCTAAGACGATTCGCTTGTTTCACGCCTCTGGACATGGCCCGGAGTACAGAGAGGGTCGCCGTTTCTCCAGATTGAGAAATCACAGCCGCAATGATCTGGGCACGCATTGTGAATGCTTTGAGAAGGGAGAGCGAAGCAGCTACTATTTGCCCAACCGCTCGACCAAAAACCCCGGGGGCAGTCAGAAATAAACTTGGGGCAGCTCCCTATGCAGGGGCAGTGCAACAGACTCAAGTTATCTTCTGCCAAAGCTGAAACGCTGGCATAGGATCTTGAACGTTGGAGACACTTTCTGACGCACCTACCTCTGCCACCAGAAAGGATAAGCGGTCATTTAAACGGACTGACTGATTTCCTTGCCCCGCATATTTCACTCCTGTTTATCTTTTTTTGCCAGTTATTCGAACAGATCGAAACTGTATGAAGTGACACAAGGAACCTTAGACTATAAATCGTCTTACTTTTAGTGGCATGGTCGTTGTATAAACAGAGACCGTCTGAACAATTGGACTGAGGACATTTCAAGAGGGCTAAATTGGATCTCATCAAACAGCTGCCCAAAATGTCGATATTCGATTAAGTGAGGCGACTGGATAAACAGCAGGTGATCTAACGAGCTTTATTCTGCATGATAGCGTCAGCTACCTTCCAACAGTCTGGAAAAGTCTGATCGTCCTGCCCGGCATCGACAGCCGATTGATGGCTGTGCTAAGTGACTGCATGGTACCGGCGTTTCATTGTAGCAACATGTTGTTTCTGACCAACTAGCAGTCAGAACCGCTTCGACCGGCGGCAGTGGTGTTCAGCGTCGAAGGTCGCCTTTATCGATTATCCCTCGCGTACACAAGTTGCACGAAATGGAAGATAGCTTCGTACGGTTCCTGACTCAGGGTAACATAATCGTTGACAACCGAGGCCTGTAAGACGAGGCCAGTACTGACTGCAATGCAAGGACTTCGTTGGCTGAGCACGTGGTTAAGTTCAGTGTACTTTACTTTGCGGGTCAATAAGGCCACAAGTTGCCATGGCTAGAGCGCATGAAGAACAAGAGAATATACAAGTAAACAACGAGCGAGAACATTTAACGTGATAACAGACAAAATTACATATGGGCATTGAGTTGTAGGAGACTCGACGCATGCTCAAGTTCAGAATTCAATAAGCATTAGACGGAAAAGGGTAGAGCCGATCGTCTGTAAGCTTTTGGACAGCAGGTCTGAATTGGTTTCTGGTTGATTGTACCTTGGACTGGAAAACTTTCCATGTCACATACATAGAAGGCTTAGAATTGTCCAGTGTCAGTGCAGCCACCGATTTGATCATTTTTCTAGCGGTAATATCCGCCCCTTTCTTTGGTTCTGCATTACCAAGCAAAGCCGCCAATTTTATAGCTCTCCGCAACATGGATCACTTTTCTGGGTCAAGTTAAGGAAGTAAATAAGCTCCGCATTTTATATTGTCTTCATAAAACACCGCAGAACCTCACTGTACTTGAACTTGTCTCAATCGCAGGAAGTACGAGGCGGATTTATGCATTGTGAACTGCGCTTACAGCATGCTTCGCTCACTGTAGGCTGCCTTCCAAAAAAATCTGAGGTATGACTTTTGATTTCGTGCAAAAAAACTCGCTACTCATGACTATAGGATTTCCACCTAAACTTAGCCATTGTTTTTAAAACGGACGTCACCAAACACCACATTCTTTCATTTCGATGGATTCAAAATCAGTTTAAGTCCGGCTGTGTTGGCCAAAATACAGATATTCTGGATTCTGTTACTCGTTGTGTTGTCGTAATAGTTCCGAACGGGTGCGAGTAGAGATGTGTAATCAGCTTGTTTTATACAGGTGGCTCAGACTTAGCTTATGCATTTGCTGGTGCAAAAGGCAGACAGGGCATGCGACAGCATTGAAGCTTGTAGCATTTCAATTTCAAGGTTTCCAGGTCGACCTGAATCTCCGTATTTAGACGTGCTGGCTACATACCTTTCGCCGGAATGATCATCATTCTACTGAACGATTTTTTTGTTTGACGTCATAGCCCTGCTATGTACACGATGATATCGCTGTGTCGGGAGTGAATACCAGGAAGCGTCTACAGGCGTTTTTGCTGAGCACTGACGCCTACTAAAAGTTTACCGTTATTGTGCGGCGCCTTCATGCTGCACCCGTGGGTTTTGATATAAGGTTTTGTTTAACGTGATCGCATGCGTTCATGTTCTGATTGAAAACTGCTTTTTTTCGGAACTGGTAAACGTTAGTGATTCAAGTTACTACATTATGTCCTGTTGTTCAAGTTACAGTCGTTAATCCGACGAGGCAAGTAAACTGCCGTTAATGAACATATGCTAAGGCAGCTTTCGTAAGTAAAGAAGGAACTTTCGCCATTTTTTCAGGAACATTGCTCGAGCGACATCAGCATTTCAATGGATTTCTTACATCTTGACGAATCAAGCTGCCTGAAACGTTTTGCCTTCTCTGCGTTCGGTACATCCGTAAGGTATGGTCATAATCTTTCGTCTTACTCCATTTAGAGGTAGATGACGGCAAAAGTATTACCGTATTTCGCTCAGTAGTTAATAGAGACGCAGTACCAATTTCTTTCAAAGCGTTCTTCTAAATAGCTCTGTTTTGTAATCATTCCCCCCCCCCCGATTGCCTCTACTTCGATAGCCGCTAGTTTCAGGGCTGGCAGATCTTTACGATCGGAGGACAAACTCTCCAGAGTACTTTGCTTTGGTATAATGATCGTTGTCCTCTGTCCAGGCATTTCGTCGGGGGTATTTCCTGGAGAGAGATGGCACCCATATTAAGCATAAGTCGCATTTTCATCTAATTCTTTTAATTTACATGTTATACTCAGCATTTCAGTTAACAGGTCTGTCATTGCAGTCGAACGGTAAGTTTCAAGACTCGGGCTTGATTACCAGGAGATGATGCTGACCCCTCCCGCCGTATCGACTTATTTTAATCGACCTATTTTTTAGCTGGATTGCACTGAAGGAAATGAATTTCTTGTGAAATGAATTCAATGAAAATAGCAAGTACTAAGGAAATCGTTGCTCCAGGGATTCAAAATCGGCACTTTTATCTGCAGCGTCACGTTCAAAATCGAAAAGGGTATTCGAGATAGTGATGTCGAAGTTATTCACCACAGCCCCAGAAGAGGTTTTAAAGACACTCGTTGGGGGGTTCAGGGGCTGAACATAAATGAGCAGTACCTAAGCCATCATCGGTTTGTGAGTGACATTCTGATCCTCTCAAGAGCACCAGAGAAACTCCAAACAAAAATTCAAGAGCTGAATGAGGCAAGCATGAAAGTGAAGATGAAAAGGAACCTAAAGAAGATTCAGAAATTTGCCGGATTAAGTCTGTTAATGTATTTAATATTTAGCAAGCGTTTTTCTGCAGAACAACTGCCCAGTTCCCCTGTTCGTAAAACCTGTCATAAATCGTACAACCGCGAATCAGGGCACACGCGGTTTCCAGTTCATTTTCTTTGTACACGTGATAGTAGCGAAGGACAGATCTTGACGAATGACTTGCGTATGCACAGGAAGATTTCCACGGAAGTAAGAAGTCTTGCTGTTCGAAGCTGTTCATTTTACTAAACACCGGCAAGGATGAGGGCTGCATATCACTGAGCATCTGTGAGGTCGATGGCGACGATTCATTGAATGATTGTACCGAGTCATGTTTCTTGGCCATGATTGACTGCAGGTAGACTGACGGCTGATGTTCCTTCAGCTGTTCAAACGCCCACACGTACACCAGAACTTTACCACCTGGCTTTACTACACGAACAAGTTCGCAAAGAGCTCGAAAACGACGTTCCTAAGAAACGTCATTGTCGGTCATCAACCCATTAATGATCACTGTTTCAGGCTCTACTACCTCGTCCGCGAAATGATGAATGACGGCAATGCAAATGATAGCATCGAAACGACAGTCGGCAACCGGTATGAATAAACAGTCTGCCTGAATGATGTTTAGGTTCTTTTCGTAGCAGATTTTGCACAGTTCAAAACTCCTGTCGAGACCAATCTGAAATGAACAGCAACCATAAGCTAATCGGAAAATTTAATACGTTTGAAATAAAACGGCAAAACGGTGACCACATATGGTTAAAAATAACCGTTTATTAAGACGACAAAAGCTTGAAAGAAAAGTAACAGAGCTTGTTTATTATGAAAACATATCTCGTTTCGGTTTTTTTCAATGCGATTAGAGCAAATCCTGCTAAAGTTGTTTAAAGTTACTGAAAAATAAATTTGAATTCGCGTTAATACCTGGCTAATTCAAAATTCCTGCTAAAGTTGAACAAAAATACAATACGAAATACAAAAACAAATTTTAGTATTATTGCTATTATCACCTATATTCTCGAAGCTACTCGTATGTTAAATCGCTTCGTTCTAAAACCCTCAAAACATCCAGGGCATGCCTCAGAATTTTGGATATTCGTGGCGAAAGTTTTTGCCTGTTCAAAACCTCGGTTCTGTTATGACTTTCTGTTCGTTCTGTTCAAGATGGTTCTTGCAAGTGTGGACAGTAGCCAAAACTATTTGCCCCGATTGGATGAAATGGAAAACACGAACAAAAATGTCCACCAGTTCCGGATGGATGGATGACCTGCGAACTGCATCGACGGACTGGCACCAAAAGGACTGCAAGCGCCCTACTGAAAGACCTCGACTCAAATGGGACAATGAGCTAAAAGAGATGTTCTAGTCTGTGAAGACAATCGCACGAGACAGACAAACGTTGGCATCGAAACTAGGCATTATTGACCCCTGTAAATTACGAAGAGAAGGATCAGTCGATTGTTGTTGTTATGAACAGGCTTGCGGTACGCGCTTGTGAAAGATACTGGAACATTTTCCTTCGAGTTTTTATCATTTACAGTTGTTAGTCAGTGCTGTTGTCCTTGCATCCAAATGATCTGCTGGCTAGAATCTTTTTGTCATGCAACGAAGGCATTTTTCAGAGACCGTGTATTGCCGCCAAAAACGGTGATCCGTCCATACCGGCATAAACGAAAATGATTTCACATTTCAGTCCATAGCGATGTGCACTGAAACTGATTTCCGGTTCAGTCCAATCCGGTAATACCGCAGTTTTACTAGATTTATTGCAAAGCTTAATCCTATATATGCGGCTCAGCATTACTGCTTGCGTGGTGAAGTTTACGCCACAGATTTGATGTAGGGTTGAAGCTTAGCCAGTAATGCAGCAAAAACCACACGTTTCCACTCCGGACTGAAAAGCAAATTAGTTTCATTTCACACCGACATGGACTCTAATGCGAATGAACTTCAGTCAGTACCGGTATAGAGAGCTTAAAACTCAGGTCGGTAACATATGCACTACGTATCAAGAATTTTAGAGGAAATTATTTTTATAAAGAAAGCTACAAAAAATTTAATTTAAACTAAACT